GACCAGTGGGACAGTTAAATATCTTTTGAACCAATAGGAATTTTCAAAATATTATAATTTCACATCATATCGCATTATGAGTGCTAACTTCAGGAATGACTATATTATATACGAGGGGAGCAAGAAAGGCTCACAAAATCGAACATCATTTTTTTCAAATGGAACACCCTCCTTCTTGAAGAGCTGAATTCAACGACCTAGCACACTTGGGGTCTAGCGGGAATGATTTCCGAGATATAGGGTGTGGAAAATCGAGATTATTCATTTTTGGGAATTTTTTGTGTCAAAACTATCATTATTGATCAAAACGGCTCACATGTTCATGTCTTAACTTTTGATTTACTATTTACTCGTATTTAATTGAAACAAATACAGGGTGGTGTAGAATTCTGACTGAAACTGAGAATTCTACACCACCCTGTATTTGTTTCAATTAAATACGAGTAAATAGTAAATCAAAAGTTAAGATATGAACATGTAAGCCGTTTTGACCAATAATGAATAGTTTAGACACAAAAAATTCCCAAAAATGAAAAATCTCGATTTTCCACACCCTATATCTCGGAAATCACACCCGCTAGACCCCAAGTGTGCTAGGTCGTTGAATTCAGCTCTTCAAGGAGAATATGAAAATGCAATGAAATACAGGGTGTTCCATTTGAAAAAAAATGATGTTCGATTTTGAGAGCCTTTCTTGCGCCCCTCGTATAAAATATAGTCATTCCTGAAGTTAGCACTCATGATGCGATATGATGTGAAATTATAATATTTCGAAAAATCCTATTGGTTCAGGAGATATTCAACTGTCCCACTAGTCTAGGGACACCCTGTATAAAGTTCTATCTCGTCAACCTATTATAATAACGTGATTTTTTGTCATATTGAAACTGAGGAATCACTAAACAATGCGATTAGTGGTCCACAAATGAAGTCGATTTTATTTCGATTCATTTCCTGTCAAAACCATTTTACATATATATTATAAACAACAAAGTTTCTTGGTGTAATAAATAAAGACAATCAGCAATGATTATGACTATGACTGAAATGATATATTTTGGTAAAACCTAGAATTTAAAATATGTTTGGATTTTTGCCACTCACCTATTGGGATTTAAATAGGACGTTCAAATATCCGATTTGGAAAACAGTTGAATCTATCGTGCATTCTAATAAATGAACTGATTAATTATACAGGGTGTTTCAAGAGATGTGATGTACATATTGCAGAAGGTAATTCCTTACTTTTTCTTAGGACTGGACACAATAAACCACAATAAACCGTCAAGAGTCGCAGTACAGGGCTGAATAGACCCACTCAATTGTAACCTAACCTAACCTATCATGTCTGAATTGCTTCATTTTCGAGATACAGGCCGTGAAAGTTGAAAATATGCATATACAGGGTGTCTCTAAAAAGTCTGTACAAAACCTTAGCACATATTCCTGAGGTCAAAATAAGTAGTTTGAAACAACTCAATCTGAAATTGTTCCGTTTCCGAGATACGAGTACACCCCAAGAAAGCATTCGGAAAAATCAATTTTTGCACTGCTAGGTCTGTCCACATTACACCCACGAAGGTAACAGCAAACATTTTTTATTCAAAATACAAATATCTCGTTATCGGCTTACTCTAGCGGATTTTCAGAGAAGCACCTTTTTGGCCTAAAAATGCTCAAAAAATTACTTCCTCAATAAAAATAAAAAAGTAGAAAAATATACTGAGAAAAAAGTTATGGCCTATTTAAACCATAAGGAGTGCATTGGTAAGCGTCCTCTAATGGTCACAGAAGAAATATGTTTATATTCAGGTTTGACATTTCGAAAAAACTCAGGCGACGAATTCTTGAAGTAATTCGTTTAAAAATGTGTTAATAAAATCTGAAAAATTCTATTTTTATTTCTCAACTTTACCTCAGGATTTGTACAGACCTTTCAGGGACTTCTCTTGTCCACCAGTTCACCTTGTATATCTTTTCGTGGTGGCAAAATGTAGTCTATTATGCGACTGAAATAGTGCAAAAATTCCAGAATGTTACCTAATCTGGTTCTCCAGTAACCTGAACGGATGTCTTCAATGACATACTCAGCATTTACATCATTTGTAAGATTTGGAATCAAAATTGAGGTGAAAATTTTGATTCAGGAATACTTATATTGTTGAACAGTGACATTTTCAGGCATGTTCAATAGTATAGTTATACTTACCACGTATTGACGTTTAATTAAATTACAAGAAAATGTGTTACATTTTATATCAAATTCAAATATGTGATGTAATATTCTCAGCTGGAATACTATGTATTACTATTTATGTTATTGTCATTGTCAAGTTGATAAAAGTCGATTAAAGCCTTATCATTCTAAAAAGGTTTTCCTTACAATTTAATCGACTTTTATCAACTTGACAATGACAATAACATAAATAGTAATACAGAGTATTCCAGCTGAGAATATTACATCATTCTTCCCCTCTAGGAGTTCTAGGACTTGACGAATTCCTTCAAATACCTCGGCGGTTTCTTGTTACGAATTGGACGATTTGATGGCCCGGAGTCTGTAGGTGCAACATGTTGCCCTTCTCCTGTAGATACAGGATCATTTTCATTTTCTGAAGTTGAATTAATTGAAGCGAATCCCGATTATGCATATGTACGTTATCCCAATGGAAACGAGACAACAGTTTCAATTCGTCACTTAGCACCTCGAGGAGATGTTACTTTACCTATTCATTCGAGAACTGTCGATGAAGGAAGTTCTACACGGATGAATAATGATTCACTACCGATTGTACATAATAGAGAGACAGATAAGGAGAACATAGGAACCAATGAACTGGTGAAAGAAGTTGAGAATATAGATCAGAGTCGTTTTGAGAATGAAAATAATCCCATGTCTACACAAGAAGGATATCATGTAGAAACTATAGACTCTATGCCATCAGAAAATGAAAATGATCCTGTATCTACAGGAGAAGGGCAACATGATGCACCTACAGACTCCGGGCCATCAAATCTTCCAATTCGTAACAAGAAACCGCCGAGGTATTTGAAGGAATTCGTCAGGTCCTAGAACTCCTAGAGGGGAAGAATGATGTAATATTCTCAGCTGGAATACTCTGTATTACTATTTATGTTATTGTCATTGTCAAGTTGATAAAAGTCGATCAAAGCCTTATCATTCTCAAAAGGTTTTCCTTACAATATGTAATCAATGGAATATCCAGGTGTTATTCGTACTAGTGCACAAGTAAAATGTTTAACACTGTAAATAATGTTGACAGGATTAACTAGTAGAATAAAGATGGTTATTGTTTGTCTTCATCCTTACCATATTAACAAATTGCGTAACAGCTAATATCTACTAATAAAATTCGCCATTCTTTGTGAACCACCTAATTACCTTGTGAAGTGTATTTTATGGTCCATTAGCATGTCCCACTGCATGTGAAATTGAATTGAACCGTTATTCAAATATAAACTGTGACAATTTGAAAACTTTCAATGGCTGTATCTCATGAGAATGCTCAGAATTGTTCCTTGGATACGAGAGGGAACTAAAGTAGCTCGTAAACAAACTGAAAAAATTGTTGTTCCTAAATTGTTCTTATCCGTCATCCGGTTGCCTCCTTACGAGTAACCCTCAGAAGTCTTCAAGAGACTTTTGCTTGCAAGGAATTACGGGGGCCTTACCTTTTAACGTTAGGCCATCAGAAAAATTTCTGCAGTCGTGGGAATCGAACCCACGAACCGGCAATCATATGATCGGGTACTTCCTGATTGTGATAAATTATTCAAAAACTTGTGAAAAGTTCTTCTCATTGATATAACTTGTCATAATCTTGCTAGTTAGGTATATGTATGCTGTACAAGGTATAAGTCGAATCATTTGAAAGTATTTTTACAAGCTTACTTGTCGTAGGCCATTGTAAGGTTTTAAATTGTCACCCTGTATAGAATGCTTGTGCTCTTCTCTGACAACTAACAATTATTTTCATGCCCATTTGGACTGTGGATCTAATTACATTAATAGTATTCTAGCATAAGAACTTACCCACCGTAAAAATTACATTGAAATAATGGCTTTTTTCTTCAGTCAAAATGCTTCAATCCTATTTTTGAATTTGATCTGCTGTCGATGTGTATGGATGAGATTATACACTTTCATAACATCCATATAATATAAGAATAGTGATCATTGATCGCTTTGAAGTCATTGACTAACAAACGGGATACTGCAAATGTGGATACTTCATAAAAATACGCCTGGCGTGGTGTGCCACCAGGCGATGCAAATAATATTTTCATATTTTTCATTTTGAGTTTCTCAGACTGATGAATATTTTCGTCGCCCACCAATATGACTGATGAAACGTATTACCAAATAATTATAACTCAATCATAGTTCTCAAAGTTTACGATCTCATCTAAACATTTGATACTGACCTAATTCTTATACATCTGTGATATACCAGGTGACAATGATGTTGCTATCCATGACAAGATCATTATGATTCAAGATAAAACAAAACTTGATAAATATCAAAATATACTAGTGCAAACTGCATGTCAGTATCCCGAATAATTATGGAAATATATGCATTATCTATATGAGAAGAAAATAGTTGGTCTCCACATGGTGAGACAGATTTAATCAAGTATTCTCTTTGGAAGAAAAAAAAAATCTTTGAATCGTACTGAATTTAATCATTGCGTGTAATTATCAGAAATCCTTTTATGTAAAGGATGATACTATTTAGTTTCCTATGTTGCACTTACATCAATCAACTGTCATTACTGTCAATGGGCACGTGTTTTCTGGGTCTCAAATGTTAGGTTACAACAAGTTTACGAAATGGAGCACTTAAGCTCTATTACATGGAGTCAAATGAAGCCATTTCTGTAGACTAATGATTCCGTTGACACCTGGTATAACTAATATAAACATATTCTCAGTATTCTATTCAAATTTTCAATATTTCATTGATCGAATCTGATAGGAGAGAAGTGTTGGCCAACGTCTGAATATCATCATCGTATCTGAGGGCGCTATCGACAGAAATGGAGATCCCATAACGGCAGAACAAATAAGAAAAGTCGTCGTCGACAATCTGAATCAAGACACCAGAATTACTGTGCTGGGTCATGTTCAACGTGGTGGCAATCCTTCAGCGTTCGACAGAGTTCTGGTAAATGTTTTTCTTCATGAGTAGTCGGTTTTACAGAATTTAATAAAATGCAAACATTTTTGTGTTCGTATGGCATGATTTCATCCAAACCCTTGCCCCATTCCCCAAAACTTTCATATTCATCTCTTCCCTTCTTTTGAATATTTCTTGGAAACCTATGAAATGATGAGTTTTTGTTTCTTTCAGAATTATTTCCTTCCACATCCGTTGATCACACATTTGTATCCGGGCTTCTCTGTTTTTCGTTTGCCCATTTCACATAGATTCTATGTGAATCCCATTGACCATTAGAGGTTATATTTTCATCAATCTTTTTTTGTTATAATACTTTCAGGGTTGTCGAATGGGTGCAGAAGCTGTTATGGCACTGATGGAAGCTAATGAAAACACGGAACCTTGCGTCATTTCCTTGGATGGTAACCAAGCAGTTCGTCTACCGTTGATGGAATGTGTCAAACAGACCAAAGCAGTAGCCCAGGTATATTTTGGAAGGTGTGATTCAACATTTTCAAAGATGGAACTACGAGAAAGCCATTCTGTGCTATTATATTTGAGTTTTTTATTCTCTGTTGAGGTCATATGATTCAAAAATGACTTGAAAGAGTACTTATTGGGAATAAAATAGAGCCGAGCATTCACATATACGATCTTCCCTACCTGAAAAAGATAAGCATCATAAGACCAGAAAATAACTGAGATTTGGACATATGGTACCAAAAAACTCGTTGAGACTAAAAATCCAGTAATCTGTTTTGAACTTCAAACAGCTGTGATTATCAATATTAATAATACAAAATTATCCTATCCAAATAATTTATGAATTTTTTTAGGCGTTGGCTGATAAACAATGGGATAAAGCTGTTCAACTTAGAGGGAAATCTTTCATGAGGAATTTGGAGACATACAAACTGTTAACCCGTTTGAAACCGCCCAAGGATGCTTTTGATGACAGGGGGCATGGAAAAGTAAGTCAGCTTAATTTTTCAAAAATGGTCCCATAAGGTATAGAAATCACGCATCAAGTCAACTAATAAGTAACTAACATACATTATATCAGTTTTTCGAAAACTTGTTTGTTTATAAAGTGTATTATGTAACTAACTGACCAATGGTATTTTGACTTTATTATTGATATATTCATGAACATTTCAGAAAATAAGTACCTCTATCGATGGTCAATGTCATGATAGTTAATTCTTATTAGTGTAAAATCGAAAAAAAATTAAATCAATCATTACTCATTACGTTTGACACTATAGAGGGTGTGTCAAAACTTCCAGAGCATATTCTCAGTATTACTGATAAAGTAAGTTCTTATAAACATGGATCGGGAAACAACATCTATGACGTTTTGTAACATCGTTTGATTTTGATTTTTTTTTCAAGTACTTTGGCAATTGAAGGAAAATTCATTTTAAATTTCAACTTTTTCTGTATTTCGGAAGAGAAATGTTTCCGTTTCTTCAACTTTACACTGGGAATTTAATCATTGCGTGTAATTATCAGAAATCCTTTTATGTAAAGGATGATACTATTTAGTTTCCTATGTTGCTCTTACATCAATCAACTGTCAATGGGCACGTGTTTTCTGAGTCTCAAATGTTAGGTTACAACAACTTTACGAAATGGAGCACTTAACCTCTATTTCATGGAGTCAAATGGAGCCATTTCTGTAGACAATTGAACCATTTTAACTCGTTGAGCGGTTTGTGATGGATATTCGTAAATTCGTTGTTGCAAACCGTCATCTGAGACCTTAATTATTGCAAACACGTATTTATTGACAGCTGTTTGATTTTAAAATGATGTCAAGATAGGAAACCCTAATTTGATCACCAATTACATCTCGTTTTTCAATTTCATCCAGACGTCAACTTTCAAAAAGGTATAATACATTATTTTATTTCATTGTGCATGTGATTTTAGGAAGCTGATATATTTCATTCAGGTTGTATATTGTATTATGAACATTTTGAATAATTCAAAATTATTATTATCTGATGCTTATGTGCCAATAACGTAAAGTAATAATTGACAATTTGACATACTAATTGATTATTTTCGATTACAATTTCATAACTACCTGAAATCACACACACAAGTAAATGGTATACAGTGACCTCTAAAAAGTCGGTACCATTTGAGAAAAAATAGTATTGAATATTGAGAACCTAAACAAATCAAAAGAAAATTGCATATTCTATGCCTACTATACTCAATAACTCTTTCCATTTGACAACTTTTTGGCAGTCACTCTATATTTAGGTTTGCAATTTTAGTAATTGAAAGTGAGACTATTTTTTATCAATGCATGAACTAGAACCATATGCCTCATGTATGATCTTAGCAAACCAATATTTCGAATTGAAACCATGTATTTGAGACTAAATCATTTTAATTTTTTATTGATAGTAATGTTTCGATAATGATTACTAATTATATGTATAATCATCAATGGTAGTTGGTAGTATGTGTATTTAACATCTGTTGAGAGTATTGAAATTCTAATTTATCAAAATTTAACTAACATAACCTTATTTTTATTACTAGCAAGACACTATGTGGGGATCCGTGAGTATATAATCTAATAATATTGCTTATGTAGTGTCTTATGATGCCCTACCCTTTTTGCTTACTTTAGCCGTGTTCAATGCTCAACATACTAGGTGTTTCAATTTTAATCTGCCAAACATAGATACAACATAGCACTCGAAAGCCTCATTCTGGTGTTTGTTAAGTATGCTGTAGTAATAAAATTCATATTTTGATGTTATGCCAGATTAATAAACACGTTGTGTGTTGATTTTTCACTTTTTCCATATTTTGTATGCACCTGAAACTCAAATTCATTGATTAAAACTGTCATCAATGTTACTTGAATGAAACTCCTTACTCCACAACTATCCAAACAGATACAGGTTCTCCAATATTTCTGTTTTTTTTTTGTTCAATCAACTGCTTCACCCTCGATTATTTATACTAACAAGATGAAGTCAAAAATTCCACTTAGTAGGTGGCGGTATCTATGAGCGAGAAGATGAACTACTTTTTGTTGATTAGCGGAGGGTAGAGATCGGTAATGCAGAAGATACGAAGTTTATTTTTAGATGTTTTTATGCAAGAAGAAATGTCGCATCAGGGCCGCATTAAAATATTCTTATTTAAAAGCCTTCAGAATATAAGTCATTTTCCTCCTTCAGAAAGAAAGATATTCTGAGATGGTTCAGCAATTTGCAGATAGATGGACTCGAGATTCCGAATCGGTCATATTTGTCCAATGAACTCAATATAAACACCTGGAAGGGAGACGGCCGTTCTCTCGAATAGCACAAAGTGTGTCAGGGGCAGCTGCAACAAAGATAGCTTGTTTTACGGTAACCTGTCTCTTTCCTACTCGTGTTGTTTAATGGTGGATTGGTGTTTACGTTTTCTTTTATCTAATAATTAAAATACTTCAGATTTTTCCTCTCATCTCTCATCTAAACAGGCAAGAAAGTGAAGACATAAGTTCATTGTCTTTGGTTATGTGAAATATCTATTCATTTGGCGTGTTTTGATTTATCAAAAAGACTGAATTTGTTGGTGTGAACTGATTGTTGAGAAGGTTTGTGATTTCATATTGATAAACAATGGTGATTTATTGTGTCGCCTTTGGATGCAAGAACGAGCAAGACAAAAGGAAATTGTCATTCCATGGGTAAGTTGAATATTGTTCAGATTTTTGGAAAATATAGTTCTTGAAATGATCATCAGTTAGGTACAATGTTCCCAGTCTCAGACTATGTACAAAAACTATACCTATATTATTTGTCAAAGTTGAATACTTCCATAACTTTTCCATAAACATATTAAGTAATATCATTTGTTGCAGTTTTCCATTCAAAAGACCAGACATTCTGGAATTATGGATCAAGGCAGTTCGTAGAGAGAATTGGACTCCATCTAAAACCAGCTAGCTTTGTGGAGAGCATTTTTTGCCAACTGATTATTTAGACATACCAGGTACTTCTAGGTTATTGAAACCAAATGTTGAACCCAGTATATTTTCATTTCCTAAGTATTTGTTACCAAAAAATGCTGATCCTCGCAGGAAAATGAAAAAACTCATAGGTACCTAGTTGATTAATAATGAAAAAAAAAGTATGTTTGCACCTCTTTAAAATAAAAAAGCTAGCTAGTAATTTATTTTCACGATGCATCTGTGGACGTTCATAGCTTGGGTCCTCAGGAAGATGTTTCTCATATTATGTATGGACTTTGATTTGCCTACGACTTCCAGCTCCCAAGTTTCCAAGTTCATCAATAAAGAAACCCAAACTGTTCCATTCGATAAGGATATCGTACTGAGAATTGTATTTTTTTCAATTTCTTATAGGGGCATGTTTGTAGGCAGTGACCTAATGGAAAAATCTTTTCAATTTTTTTCTATCGTTTTTCTGTTCCTTCTGATAGTGCTGAGACATTGTGCTTCGCTCACCCTGTACAATATATTGTGACATTTGAATCAAAATATATAAATTTAATTTTATATTCATTTGACATTTCTGATCCTGTAAGAATAAAAATGAAATTTCATTTTTAAGTCAATAAAAAAAAATCAATAATAATGTTTCAATGGTAATTGATTGCAACATCATCCTTTATCCTAAATGATTATTTATATTCAATTACCTATAGTCTTACATAAAAGCAAAAAACGAGAAAATATTTCAAATAATGTGAGTGCTTCCCATTAGCCAACGTAAGATAGAAATAGATAGGTATCCGTAAACACTGCGGGTTGCCTGAACAATATTTTTACCTCACTCGTCGTTCACAGAGGATCCCTTCCAGGTGTTTATATTGAGTTCATTGTATTTGGCTGAGTTTCACTAGCGCCGAATACGAACCAGCCAAGAACTAAGGTCAAATTTGGCTTCAACATTTTACAGGGGTGGATCGTCTTATTAATGTAAATAATCAAGGGCTTCACTTATTCCATACTTTGCAATTTTGCTCTGCAACTTCATTGGACGATCTATTAGAAGAAAAATCCTTATTATTTCAGGAAGGTTATACCATGGCCGTCATGCACGTTGGTGCCCCAGCTTGCGGTATGAATGCAGCTGTTCGTTCTTTTGTACGTAACTGCATCTACCGTGGAGACACTGTGCTTGGCATCCATGATGGTGTCGAAGGTTTTATCGCTGGAAACATCAAAAACATGAGTGAGTTCGGGATATAACAGTGGACATAAAAAAAATCATCGATAGTAATATCAGCGACAGGGGTATGATAAAATCCCTAAGTAAAATTGCATACATCCCGTTACCAAATGTTTGTTATTACTTGATTACACAAACAGGTACTTACACAGTTCCCAGCACTTATAAAAATGATCGAGATTGCAAGACACTTCCGAAGTACTCCTGTTTCAATTCAGAAAGCTACAATTATAAGTCACAATGCGTGATTCGTTATTTAGAAAACGCCATTCGCCATGCGTCAAAATTGAATTCATATTTGTTTAAAGGTATAGGCCTTACCCATAGTTTTGGTGATTAACATAATGAAAAATATATATTGGGTGTATCCCACTTGCTCTTTCGTTAGGCAAAGTTACTTCTACAGGGTGAATGTTCTGAATTCCTCACTCAAGATCATCTTGCTATTTATGGTTCTGAATATCGTAAAAACTTGAATTCAGTCCTCCAATCTTTTTTTACGAGATGTATTGAAATAGGCTTCAATCAAAAATAACTGTATATAATTCAACTAGTTGTTATCAACGCTCTCACCATTGTGAAAATACCAATGTTAGCAACACGTAACGAAAGCAACCTGCAAAAAATTGGAATCAGTCAAGGAATTAGGAAACACAAGGATGGTGCTATTTGAACTTCCATTTTATCCATATTCCTATATGAATAATATCTTCTACTATTGCTCTGTCTGATATCTAATATAAAACTACTTTTCTGTCTAATAACTATTTTTGTTTAAATGAGAATCAGAAATTGAATGAAACTGATGAATCTTCTGTCTGTATGATAAATAATATGAATATTATTGTTGTGTACTGATATTCAAATGTTCTAGTCCAAAATGTCAACTATTTAGATGTTATTATAACCGAAGTTTTCATTAGGTTGGTCAGATGTAACTGGTTGGGTCAGCGTTGGCGGTGCATACTTGGGAACAAAGAGAACACTTCCAGGTAATCGCTTGGGATTGATCGCATCCAGAATTCAAGAATTCGGCATTCAAGCTATCTTAATCATTGGTGGCTTTGAGGTAAATATTTTCTGCTGATAATTCGATAAAAACTAAAAAGTACTATCTGAACAAATATGCTTGAGCATTATAAAAATTTGATTGAAAATAATTCCGGAAATTTTTCTATCAAATGGGAGGCATATATTCAATATTTTGCAGAGGTTTTTTCGTCGCATTGAAAATAATTCCGGAAATTTTTCTATCAAATGGGAGGCATATATTCAATATTTTGCAGAGGTTTTTTCGTCGCTCTATGTAACCAGCTGTCCCCATGTATTTTTCATAAGCGGTCTAGTAGTCATATACCCAATTCATCCAACTACAAAATTAAGAAAATCCATAGACATATAAAAAGAGGGGAGACGAAATCGTTTAAATTTGGTCCCGATCCAACATCGTTTTCAGCAGAAACGATGATGACAAATTTCTGCCGATTGCCCTAGATCTACCGCGAACGAGGGAAGCATTTTTCATACATTAATCATATCGAAAATCATATAATTTACATTTTTTATGTATATTCATTTTGGACGTTTGTTCCTTAATTGAAATATGTGAATTCTGCTATTGAATAAACTTGAGTTTTCCCTCATTTCATCAGTACAAAAAAGTAAAATGTATTCTGGTAATAAGTGTGGCAACGCTGTATTCGCGTGTTCACTACGAATTACGCACATTTTTGAGTCATTCACGTTTATCGAAATCCTACGTTACAGTGTTGATGTGCTGTGATTGTTACCATTTTAATACTTTTTTGTTTCAATTGATTTTCAGTGTTATCTTGTTATAAAACTGGATTGTTCTAAAACTTGTTCTAAAATGGCAATTCAAAGGTTTATTATAGTTCGCCAATGCGTGGATTGACAAACAGTTCACGATACAAACCTCAACTTGGAATTTCGACGGTAATTAAGGTTATGTTCCTTTCAACTTGAGCAGTGATGTAGTTATCGCAAGTAATTTAACTAAATTATCTCAAAAAACCTTTTCCTTTTTTGTTCAAATTAGGTGAGTACCTAAGCTACTACGAATATTTGGTATTAAAATTAAAAGATAAGACTAAAAAATTTTCCGATAGGTATAATAGCGTTGTCATTGTAGTACAATTGTCTTGCCTCTCACTCAACCTACGCGATTGGTGAAGATAGGCGTGAACACTGACGCACAGTTTACAGCGTTGCCATCTCTTTATAACTCATTTGAAACTTTGGAAGTATCCACGATCGTAAACAAATAGTGTTTTATGAATGAAATGTTATGTCTCCCCTCTTTTTACATGTCTATGAGAAAATCGCATTCAATTCAATGTTCCGTAGTGCACAGCGGTTCATTTCCAGTGTAGTGTAATCAACTCAGAATATCAGAGGTTTGTATTCATATCAATGTCAAATTCCTAATTTCAGAAAGATTCACAATATGCTTTCCCTAGAAATAAAAAAAAATCATGAGAATTAGGAGTTATAAATTGAAAATCAAAATTTATGTCACTGAGACTCCGACTACACTTCGTATTTTTAACTGAGAAACTCAATTCGTTTTTCCTATTCATTCCTTTGTTTTCATTTCCGATTTCGAATTCCATCCTATTGATTCCATATTACAACCCAGTAGGTAAAATGTGAGCTACACTCGTCTTAAAATATTAATTATTATTATATTTATTCCCACACTGAAGTATAGAACACCACGACACTAGCATTCACTTGCTTAGGTGGATTATGTTCTTCTGGTGGGGTTGTAATGTTATAATCTTATAATCAGCGTTTTATCTAACTCCATTCCGGTATGGAGCTTAAGGTATTTGGACGTTTTAGAACGAGTTCAACTAAATTTTTCAAAAAGAGTTCTCTTAGTACCTTCGAATACCCCAGATGCCATTGTGTAACCTTGAAATTAACCCGAGGGTCCAAGGTCTTCGGCTAGCGTTTCAGTGGAGATGGGAGGGTTCGATAAATGGGCGCCAGGTAATTCAATTACCTCCACTAACACCCAATGTGCACGTTACCGACTACCACAAATTACCAAGTGGTAGTCTATCAAATCTAAGGTTGTATGGGCCAACAAATGAAAATAAATGCAAGACAGTTCCTTAAGAATTCCCCATTTAATGACTCACAAAATAATAACCCTATACAGAGGGGATGCGGTCACCCTTATGACCTTCAACCATAATAAACGATCAATGGCTAAGTCAATATGAATTTACTGAACCATTCCGCGAAGCGTTCAGGCGAAAAGAATAATTCAAGTAGGGTGCGGGGTAAACGCGTCGCTTGAGCTCAGGCGCATGCGCAGATATTCATAAACCCTAATGGTAGCTTATCGTTTCGCAGAACAGGTACAAATCATTTAAATATCATAAACATAATAATCAAATATCCCGGTTGAGCAAATTCATAAGGGAGAGGTCAGTAGAATGGGGAGAGCACAAATAAATTCAACAACACTTCCAACATAAAGTCAACATCACCAAAATTCCCTCGGCGACTGCAGAATCAGGAACACCCTGTATAGCCCTAGACCGGGCCACCCTGTATAGGCTCTAACTGGTTCACCCTGTATAGAGTCCACGTGCTCCACCTGGTAGGGGCTTCACATGGGACGCCTTATGTAGACTACGATTGGGGCCACCCTGTATAGTCCTCACCGAGTACTTGGGGTTGACGAACCCGAGGAAATCTTGGTCCCAGAACCAAACCCGCAACTAAAACCCCTTAAAATCGGGGTTTCTTTCTATCAGGCACCAGAGTTTTTCCAGGTTTTCCAAAGTGACCAACCTAGCCTCTAGACAGTGTCCAATCTAGCCTCTAGAGTTTCAGACAGTCCTATTTGACGGATGATCGGAAATCTAGCCAGTCCCTAAGGCGCTGCAATCAGGACTTCTCCATCTCGTCAATTACTTCACGATGTCCAGTGAGGTTATGGAATGTTGCGGCGACAATATATCCTCACAAGAGAAAGATTTGGGTCATCGATCAAAAATTTCAACACACGTTGAATCACACAAATTATCACTACCCAAATCACTAAATGGCGGCCTCAGAACATAATCCTAATTAAAGATGATTATGAAAATCAAATATAATTCTGAAGACGCCAGTCAAACGCAATCAAGCCATTTTTCAGAGAGAGAGAGAGAGCTAACGAGAGACAGAACACCCACTCAAAGTCATCCACTGGTCATCGATTCAAAATTACCTGGGACGATCCCTTTAGGGACAGAATGCAAGGAGAGAGGGCGCAGCAGATAAAGGTATGTCCACGCCTGCACGAATCAATTTCACAGTATCAGCAAAGTACTGTTGGAAGCATTTCTGAATGCATAAAAAGATTGTACAGCCTCATTTGATAAATGCGACTGAATGACCCAAATAAATATTTCAATTACTGTCGTGTAACGTGCCTTCACTTTGATGAACTTCCATCAATGGTGGGACCAGAAATAAAGGAATTATATATGTCAACAAAACCCTTATCTCCAGTATATTTTGGTCGCCTGAGTATTAACGTCGAATTCTGTTGGGAACAAGCACGAACACACCTTAATCCTTGTCCTTTCTGCGTCATACCGCACCTTACCCTACCCCACAATTTCTACACTTCGTGCAAGAGGTACTGTTCCCTGACTGACAGTTAGCACGAGGGCGTGCGAGAACGCACGAGAACCGATGATCACCTAAAGGAAGAACAGCTCCGAGACCGCTTCCAGCTAACTTTACTTGAGTAATATAACCCGAAAATTCCAAACAACGTAAACAATAATACAGTGCCCACGGCCCCACTTTTATACCAACAATTCAATCAGTGCAGGACGTAGCGATCGTTCATTAGATGTTTATCACAATAGAAGTCAGATGGACTGAAAGGTATGCTAAGCATTGTCTCGTTGCTCCCAGTGGATATTGAATCGGCCAACTGATTACTAAGTTGCTAAGAAATCAAATGATGTCTCTTCACAGTGAATGACCAGGTAGTTGATGGAGGTAGGTTACTTATCAATGTGTTTAATTGAGGATATATACCTAACGTAGAAAATGAACGTTACAAATCCCCCCCCTACTTCAAGAAATTTGCCCGCAAATTTTTCCCTAGACTCAAAACAAACTAAAATTTCCTACTATCTATACCCCTTGAAACTTGTACCAGGTACCCCCTGGGTACAAGGTATGTCCTGAGTCATCTTGGGCCCCAGTCGCCCCACAGATGGATGACCCTGACGATCGCCCGAGTGACGGCGTTCCAAGGGAGCCTCAGAGGGGCCCTCGCGAAGATGTCAGACGCGTCGTGGACCAGCCCTCTGGTCGACGTTACATCAGCAACCCTCAGACGCGCCGACACGCGCACGGCCGCCCGAGCCCGCCATCCATGCCGCACTGGTCACCCGCCATGGAAGCCGAAACATGTAAAATAAATTTTGATTTAGGGCAAGCCCAAGGACTGCCAGTACAACCCTAGTGGACAGGAGGGCCCACCACCCTGAAACGGCGCTGATGCCGGAGCGAGATCCAACAAAACATTCGGGATTGTTCCACAACGCAGGGCGGCGGACAATCCCGCGCTCCCTCGGCCCAGGGACCTTTGACCGAATTCAGGAGTACTGACGGGCCATAGTGACGGGCGCCCGTAGGCAACTCGCGATTCCGTCGACCGGTCAGCTCCTGGATTCGTTCTCCAGCCCCGAGCACGTAACCCTGAAACCGGGAACGCGACCTGCCCGCCCCCACTACGAATAGGTCCCTACCAAACAAAAACCCTCGCGCAAATAAACAACAACAAAAAATTGCCAATCCGAGTAACTACGAAAGGCCCAAATAACGAATACACGGAATTCTACACCCCAAGCGCACATGTGCAAACCGGGAACTCAGAACTGCTATCACCCCCGTTATCCCCACTTAAACTTGTACCCTTCTTGGTACAAGATATGTCCTAAGACATCTTGGGTCCCAGTCGCCCCACAGATGGATGATCCTGACGAACGCCCGAGTGTCGGCGTTCCAAGGGAGCCTCAGAGGGGCCCTCGCGAAGATGTCAGACGCGTCGTGGACCAGCCCTCTGGTCGACATTACATCAGCAACCCTCAGACGCGCCGACACGCGCACGGCCGACCGAGCCCGCCATCCGTGCCGCACTGGACACCCGCAATGGAAAGCCGAAAATGTAAAATCAAATTTTGATTTAGGGGTAACCCCAAGGATTGCCAGTTCAACCCTAGTGGGCAGGAGGGCCCACCACCCTGAAACGGCGCTGATGCCGGTGCGAGATCAAACAAAACATTCGGGATTGTTCCACAACGCAGTGCGGCGGACAATCTCGCGAGGGCCCCTCTGAGGCTCCCTTGGGACGCCGACACTCGGGCGCCAAAAATGTAACCTTGAAATTAACCCGAGGGTCCAAGGTCTTCGGCTAGCGTTTCAGTGGAGATGGGAGGGTTCGATAAATGGGCGCCAGGTAATTCAATTACCTCCACTAACACCCAATGTGCACGTTACCGACTACCACAAATTACCAAGTGGTAGTCTATCAAATCTAAGGTTGTATGGGCCAACAAATGAAAATAAATGCAAGACAGTTCCTTAAGAATTCCCCATTTAATGACTCACAAAATAATAACCCTATACAGAGGGGATGCGGTCACCCTTATGACCTTCAACCATAATAAACGATCAATGGCTAAGTCAATATGAATTTACTGAACCATTCCGCGAAGCGTTCAGGCGAAAAGAATAATTCAAGTAGGGTGCGGGGTAAACGCGTCGCTTGAGCTCAGGCGCATGCGCAGATATTCATAAACCCTAATGGTAGCTTATCGTTTCGCAGAACAGGTACAAATCATTTAAATATCATAAACATAATAATCAAATATCCCGGTTGAGCAAATTCATAAGGGAGAGGTCAGTAGAATGGGGAGAGCACAAATAAATTCAACAACACTTCCAACATAAAGTCAACATCACCAAAATTCCCTCGGCGACTGCAGAATCAGGAACACCCTGTATAGCCCTAGACCGGGCCACCCTGTATAGGCTCTAACTGGTTCACCCTGTATAGAGTCCACGTGCTCCACCTGGTAGGGGCTTCACATGGGACGCCTTATGTAGACTACGATTGGGGCCACCCTGTATAGTCCTCACCGAGTACTTGGGGTTGACGAACCCGAGGAAATCTTGGTCCCAGAACCAAACCCGCAACTAAAACCCCTTAAAATCGGGGTTTCTTTCTATCAGGCACCAGAGTTTTTCCAGGTTTTCCAAAGTGACCAACCTAGCCTCTAGACAGTGTCCAATCTAGCCTCTAGAGTTTCAGACAGTCCTATTTGACGGATGATCGGAAATCTAGCCAGTCCCTAAGGCGCTGCAATCAGGACTTCTCCATCTCGTCAATTACTTCACGATGTCCAGTGAGGTTATGGAATGTTGCGGCGACAATATATCCTCACAAGAGAAAGATTTGGGTCATCGATCAAAAATTTCAACACACGTTGAATCACACAAATTATCACTACCCAAATCACTAAATGGCGGCCTCAGAACATAATCCTAATTAAAGATGATTATGAAAATCAAATATAATTCTGAAGACGCCAGTCAAACGCAATCAAGCCATTTTTCAGAGAGAGAGAGAGAGCTAACGAGAGACAGAACACCCACTCAAAGTCATCCACTGGTCATCGATTCAAAATTACCTGGGACGATCCCTTTAGGGACAGAATGCAAGGAGAGAGGGCGCAGCAGATAAAGGTATGTCCACGCCTGCACGAATCAATTTCACAGTATCAGCAAAGTACTGTTGGAAGCATTTCTGAATGCATAAAAAGATTGTACAGCCTCATTTGATAAATGCGACTGAATGACCCAAATAAATATTTCAATTACTGTCGTGTAACGTGCCTTCACTTTGATGAACTTCCATCAATGGTGGGACCAGAAATAAAGGAATTATATATGTCAACAAAACCCTTATCTCCAGTATATTTTGGTCGCCTGAGTATTAACGTCGAATTCTGTTGGGAACAAGCACGAACACACCTTAATCCTTGTCCTTTCTGCGTCATACCGCACCTTACCCTACCCCACAATTTCTACACTTCGTGCAAGAGGTACTGTTCCCTGACTGACAGTTTGCACGAGGGCGTGCGAGAACGCACGAGAACCGATGATCACCTAAAGGAAGAACAGCTCCGAGACCGCTTCCAGCTAACTTTACTTGAGTAATATAACCCGAAAATTCCAAACAACGTAAACAATAATACAGTGCCCACGGCCCCACTTTTATACCAACAATTCAATCAGTGCAGGACGTAGCGATCGTTCATTAGATGTTTATCACAATAGAAGTCAGATGGACTGAAAGGTATGCTAAGCATTGTCTCGTTGCTCCCAGTGGATATTGAATCGGCCAACTGATTACTAAGTTGCTAAGAAATCAAATGATGTCTCTTCACAGTGAATGACCAGGTAGTTGATGGAGGTAGGTTACTTATCAATGTGTTTAATTGAGGATATATACCTAACGTAGAAAATGAACGTTACAATTGTTCGCCTTGAGACTGGGAGAGTCAAATTTGCATACAACGTATTCAAAATGACCCTTAACTGGATTCAAAAAATTCATTCAATGGAAAAAAAAACGATACCTCAAACTTTGCTTATTACAACAACTCCGTTTGATCAATGCAGCTGATGACAAATATAATTGGTTACTACAGGTGAAAAAATGCTTTGCAGATATAGGTTGCCTTGAAACCTGGAATAATTTGAGTGGTATAAATGGGACTTGTAAGAAACAGCTACTAACAAAATATTATGCTTATTTACATGGGTTAGATGCGTCTATAGCCTCCCGCTACCAATTTCTGTGTATATATAATCTATTTGACATTTCGTATAATCCAAGTACATATCTACTTTTGAAATTACCAATTCAGGTCACTCGCACTCTTGCTCAGTTACGCATGTCAAATGATTTTATGATTAAGTTCACCTTAAATGGGATTATTTATAGAATTAATCCAAACCTAACTTGCCCTGTATGTAACAGAAACCAAAATGAGACACTCATACACATGCTCTTCGATTGCCCAATATATACTGTTATGAATCAGAATATTCCCTGCCTTCAGAGTGTTGATTCATTGATTGTTGCACTTAAAAATATCACTATAACTCAAGCTAGAACTATTGCTACTTATATTTGGAATATTCTTAAGCTTCGTTCATTCATCCTTACCGAATAACATAATGTATATAGCTTGTTATGTTTATTACTATTATGTAATGCACATTATTATCATTAATTTGTATCTGTCTGTGATTCTTTTTTGTTACCTCTTAACTCTCACTCGAATTCATTGCTGTAAATTATATGTTTTCTATACGCAATTAAATATTATTATTATTATTATTAATCTTATAATCAATAAATCAAATCAAACTGATTGATTTCGATCCCTGTTATTCCCATTCGCAGGCATACCAGGCCGCCCTCCAGTTCTCCGAGGGCCGCGACCAGCACCCCGCCTTCTGCATACCCATCATGGTCATACCGAGCACGATCAGCAACAACGTGCCCGGCACCGAGTTCTCCCTCGGCTGCGACACGGCGCTCAACGAGATCACCGAGATATGCGACAGGATCAGACAGTCGGCGCAGGGCACGAAGCGCAGGGTGTTCGTCATCGAGACGATGGGCGGATATTGCGGCTATCTGGCCACCCTAGCCGGTGAGTGGAACAATTTCTACAAGAAAATCGGTTTTTGTTCGGTTCTAGTATCATTTTCTATCCATTCACCAGACGAAAAATGCGGTATCTACCTCAGACTGAATAACGATCGATAGACACCGCGATTCATCCATACATCATTGAAACGTATGCGCCAACAAGCCTAAAGGCCGAACACGGATAAATGAATGATATCGTGAATGGTGGGGAAAGGAAAAAGTTGTAGCTTTAGTCGCTCTATCTCAGGGAATTATCGAAATGAGATCAAAGTCAGTGGCATACATTCATATCAATAAATTCTATTTTAACACCCTGTATCTTAAAAACAATGCATTCCCGGACCTACAATTATGGAAACCTCTTTTCATAAAATGATCTGAGGAATCACCCCCTTAAATATTGCTCTTTCTTAAACACCGATATATCCGCGAAAGAAAATTGTGTAAAAGATTGTGTGTCGCTAATTTGAATTTTTCTGGGGGGAGGGATACTTTTATGCTTCTAATGTACGCACGTCACTGTAATTTGGCAACTCTGGTCGGTGAGGGGAACCATATCTACAAGAAAATAGATTGTTTTTCTTCGGTTCTAGTATCCTTTTCTATCCATTTACTAGACGAGAAATGCGATATCTACTTCAGACTGAATAACGATCGATAGACATCGTGATTCATTCATAAATCATTGAAACGTATGCGTCAACAAGCCTAAACGCCAAACACGGATAAATGAATGGAACCGCGAATGGTGGGGGTAACTCTGCGGAATCATTGCCAGAAATTTGATATCCTTCATAAATCTCAACGAGATCACCGAGATATGTGGCAGGGTCAACCAGTCGGAGCAGGGTATGAAGCGCAGGGTGTTCGTCATCGAGACGATGGGCGGGTATTGCGGCTATCTGGCCACCCTAGCCGGTGAGTGGAACCATATCTACAAGAAAATCGGTTTTGTTTTCGGTTCTACTATAATTTTCTTTTCATTTACCAGACGAGAAATGCGGTATCTTTCTCGGACTGAATAACGATCGATAGACACCGCGATTCATTCATAAATCATTGAAAAGTATACGCCAACAATCCCAAGCGCCAAACAGGGATAAATGAATAGAATCGCGAAAGGTGGGGAAAATTTGATATTCTCCATAAACCTCAACGAGATCACCGAGATATGTGGCAGGGTCAACCAGTCGGAGCAGGGTATGAAGCGCAGGGTGTTCGTCATCGAGATGATGGACGAGTATTGCTGCTAGTTGGCAGTGGCGTGCAATGCTACTGATGTTAGGGTTGGCAAAAATTATTAAATGGTGAAATGCAGGAAACATACATGTAGATGGTCCGGCTTTGAGCCGTTTCGTTTCCGTAGTAAATCCTGACTTGTCCAAGTCGTTTTCATTTTCAAATTGAAGCAATTTCTAAATTTCGTAGCAGCAAACGTACGTACTTTCTGAATCTAGTCTGAAAATTGCTGATGGTGAAGAATATAGCTAGCGAATAGCTAACGAATGAAAAACGAGTGAAAAAAATAGGAGACGTAAAACTGGTAAACAAAAACATGCATAACCACAAATGCACTCGGAGCAGGAATGCAGAGGGTGGTTGGCTTCATTCTGACAGGTTATAGTTTTGTTATTTATGCATTGAAATATCTCGAAAAGATCTCGATCCTAAACGAAAATATCATTGAATCAATGAATCACTATCGGTTACATTCAATGATGCCATCCTTTCTAATTTACTGCCATCGGTCTGAACAGAATGAAGCCGACACCCATGGCTCCTTCCTCTTGTTGTGCCTGTCAGCATTTTGAGTGGTGTGGACGGACTCGAAGTATTAGGCGCTGTTGCAAGATATAATCTGCAACTTTCCTAGAAAATAGTTCCGTTTTATAAAGGAACGAATTCATTAGCAAAAAAATACTGACAAGTTATGAATAACATATTGTAATATAACGATAGTGACAAATTGTAGATACTATCATAATCTATCTTCATTAGTAATCAACTCCATTCAGATAATGAGGAATTTATGGGGATTATTCATAATACTTGACAAAGTAGGATTGAAGAACCTATAATATCCCATTGCTGTCATGATATAGTTATTATGCATTCAAAGAACAATTTCCGGAAATCTAGACATATTGATGATATTGGCAACGTCGTACTGGCACAGGGAATCGTATTTCAACTCTGTGTGGATGTGGATTTTCAGAAAGTAAGTCATAGGAATGGTGGAGGAGCCAAGTTCTTCTTTTATTTATTTTTTCTGCAGTGAAATTTGATCTTACCAAAAAAGAAAAAATATGTATATATTATTTTTTCACAAACTTCACAGTGAGATGAAAACCTCATACAGGAAACTTCTCCATTATAAGTTTTTTGGGTCGATTAGAGATGGTGCTTGCTCTTGTTACTGTTTCAGTGGAGGTTAACATGCTTATATTTTCCAGCAGATCACGCTACCAAGAAGTAAAAAATACTTTTTGTGCCTTCAACCTTTTCACACAATACATTAAAATGATAATATATTCTACTGTCAACGTCGAAGATGCGCGATAGTCCCTAGTCGTTAATTTTCATATTGTTTCCAGGACTTGCCGGTGGCTCGGATGCAGCTTACATCTATGAAGAGAAATTCACCATCAAAGATCTCCAGCAAGACGTCTATCATATGGCAACGAAAATGTCAGAGGGGGTGCAGAGAGGTTTGATTCTTCGCAACGAGAAGGCATCCGATAACTACAATACCGATTTCATTTACCGGCTGTATTCCGAAGAGGGAAAAGGGTTGTTCAGTGCCAGAATGAATGTCTTAGGTAAAATATCATCATCATCTTTATTATACCCAAGAAACAATTGACATATATGTTTATAACAGGGAACATTAAAAAATAAACCATAATGTATTAAGGTACACCAGGGTAAATGTAAATTTGGGGTAAGTGGAACCCAGGCTGATTATCATTAAATTTTTGTTCACAAGGTGGCTCTGTCGAATTATAAATAATTTCAATTTTACTTGAAACTAAAAAAATGTTCGAGAATGATTTGGTAAGACAATTCAATTGATACTCATTATGGTTCATGGTTTTTTTGATTTTTTTCACTGGAAGACTCAGGGTGTTCTATTTGAAAATATTGTTGCCAACGTCATAACTCAAACGTGGATCACCCTGTATATTTATTATTTATTTTCTCCTTCAAAATGTGGAAAATTGATGATGAAAATCGACGTGTCTCCAAAATTGCCTATTCTTGAATAGATGAATTTATTACATGATTTTGCCACTCGTTGTTGGATTTTTTTATGGGGTTTCCTGTAAGGTAAAGTTTATAAAACAAGATATCATTCTGTAGCTGAGCTTTGTGCAGCGATTGATTTGAGTTTGCAAAATTTGCATTTGCTTTTTTCTACGTTGAATCTTGAATAAAATAGGTTTGGTGTTTGTTGTTATTCATCATAATAATTAAGTTTGAATGATGTAATAAATAATTAAGGAATGAGAAATCAAACAACTTTATTTGAATTGAGTTTGAAAGTATAAGAAGTATAATAATCACTCACATAAATTTTGTTTTCAATAAAGTTTAGCCATATCCTTCTACCTAAATTTGGAAATCTGAAATTCTGAGCTTATTTTTGAAAATAATTGTATACAATTATATATTTTTGGAAAGCACACTTCATGCTTAAAAAAAACATATGTTTGCTCCATAACTAAAAAACAAAAGGTGCTAGCAAAAAAAATAACTACGCCGTTGGATTCTACGAGAAAAACTCAATAAGATCGAGTTGTAACTTCTTTGATAAGTTCAAAGATAACTGAGACACGGGGGTGTCTGAAAAGTGATATTTTCCAATTCCACCCTGTATCTTGACAACCGGATGAGCTGTCACAATTCTGCGTGCGCCATTATTAATTTCATAAAAAAGTAGCACACTGTCGCGAAAACCGCAATGCTCTATCTTTACTGATAAGGAAGATACCCCGCAAAAGTGCACAAATTGGGATACCCTGTACATTATTATATATGAGTAACCGTGTTGTGGGAACAGTATTCGGGTGTACGTAAATGAAATAGGCACTTCTAGAATGAACAGCGAGAACAACGAACAACCACTTTATTCTATCAAGGGTAAACGTAGACTGACTAATACAATTCTTTCTTATATCACCTCAACCTTAATCATCTACCAGAAATGTATGAATCACAGAACGATAATGATGATCACATACCTAACAATAATGATAATAGTAATAATAAAATACAAAATCGACGCAATTGCTCACATATACTTACGACATCTGTCAAATGAAGTTGAGACCACATGCCTCTCAGTCACACCTGACGCTCGGGCAGAAAATTCAACATTTTAAATCTAGGCAACCATGAATTCAATACTATTTTTGATAAGGCAACCTGATGCAGTTGGATTGTGAATAAAATAAGCTTCCATTTGCGCCATATTTTGAATAAATAACTTATGATGGTATATAAATTACTCTAACTTACCTGTTTATACCTGACAACCTCGAGAAATGTAGGCAACCTATAGTTTTCAAATTTCCCAGGGTATATTCTGTCAATTAATACTCAACTTTTATAAATAACAAATGAGAGAAGTTCACCAAAATAATATTATTAAACATATTATTATTTAACATCATCGGCACTTGATTTAGCTAGGCAACCTATTTGCAATGAATCAATATATATATGTATTATCTAACGTTATTTTTTATCATTAAATAATAGATACTGGTTTATATTTCTTATACCGTATCTCAGACTATGACTAGTAGACTTGAATGATTCAAAGCTTTCACAAGATATGTGAATGAAACTTTGTGGCAAAACTTGAAGAACAAAAAATATATGAAAATATCACACCGCCTGTATGTCAGAAACGTAGCTCCTATATTCTTCAATCTGTTGTAGTCCTGCTAACAAAATCTGATTCACTTTGTATGAAGAAATATTTATACAGGGTGTCCCAAAATTGCTGGGACACAGAGCTACCACGTGTTATAGAGGTCAAAATAAGTTGATTAAACCCAATTTATTTATATACCAAAATGTACCGTTTGTCCTTGAAAACAGTTCGAAGTCGAATTGACCTTGGTATTGATGAAGGTGGCAGTCATATCGAGAAGGTATTATAAAAAACGTTATTTCTTTGTTTCCACTGTTGTATTACAATATTATTAAACTTGTACTGAGAATATCTGGTTAGCATTGTTAAATAAAACATCTTTTTCTTTCGGAAATATGGAGAGTACAAAGTTTTTACAAGAGTAACAAAATAAAGATAATCAATTTGTCTTCCCGTTAAAAAAAATTATAATCGTATTACCACCCTTAAGAATATATTCTGAAAAAAAAAGTCAGGGGGTGAGGGTAGTTTCAATCCTTCTACAATTCATTTTGGGTTTCTTTGATCACTGAAAAGAGAGTAATATTCTAGACAAAAGTAAAATTTCATCGAAAATTTTTAGATCATTTCTGAACAGTTAACTAGCATGTGTTTTTTATGTTGACTTTGAACTTTTTCCATGAACAAACAGTACATTTTGGTATATATAAAAATTGGGTTCAATTAAAGTCACTGGATGGTATCTTACACATCTTGCTTTGTGACAACAACATCATAGTCCTTCCGCGCTTTTTCATTCAAAGATGTTTGAAATTGACAATGAATTTTATAAACTCCATCAGAATTGAGATATAATTTCATGAACTATTGAGACAAGAAGTATGAATGAAAATGTTTTGCTGTGTAATGAATTGCGGGAATTCTGAAGAAAATGGTGATTTCATTTCTTTAATTTTCCAAAGGAAATATCAACCATTCCCTTTTAGAAGGAATGTTTGAAACGGCCTGAATGGAAAATTAATTTGAAGATGAGCAAAATTTGTAAGGTAATTACATACATTAAAATTCACTTCTTATAATAGCAGATTTAATAGTTTTACATGCAATAAGGAACTATCTATAACTATATCCATATGTCTATATTGTCATATTACAATGTTACATGAATTATTTTTATTATTATTACTATAGTTCTGCAAGGTGTATCACTATATAAATTGAAGTTGGTGTTTATACCCTATTCATATTTTCCATCTACGACAATGATTGATTTGACAGAAAATCTAATCTCTAAAAGCGTATCTGACGAACAGGCGCTACTAGGGAAATTGAAAAGACAAAGAGCAGACCATTGTAATATGGAAAATAGGAAAGGACAGAAGTTAAGCTGTGTCCGAACTCTTATCTAAGTAATACCATCCAGTGGCTCTAAGTTTAATCAACTCATTTTGACCTCTTTTACACAAGGTTTCTCTGTGCCCCAACAGTTTTGGGACACCCTGAATAAAATAAGAAATTACACAAAAATTATGACTATCGATAATGAAACCCTTATTCACCGAGTATATCCTTATCGTTTCCAGGTCACATGCAGCAAGGCGGCTCTCCCACCCCCTTCGACCGCAACTTGGGCACCAAGATGGCGGCCAAGGCGGTCGACTGGATCGTCTGTCAGCTGAAGAACAACACGGAGCTGGACGGCACGATGTGCTGCTCGGATCCCAACACCGCCTGTCTGTTGGGCATCATCAAGCGTCAGTACAAATGCACGTCGTTGGCGTCGCTCAAGATGCAGACGAATTTCGAGTGAGTGATGTGACCATCTTCTTTCTTTATCTTTACCATTATTGTCTGCTAAATATGAAGAAAAAATCTAGTGAGCTGTAGTATCTGGTCTGCTCATACAAGGGAAATCATCTACAGGTTTCTATGGCCGATACAGTAGTGCCGTCATACGGTCAACTCTAGGAAACACTTATTCCAATTGTTTTCCTGTCAAACCTACATAACCTTGGAAATCGTAAACGAGTTGAGCAGCCCCTCAGCGGTGCTCTCGGCACTCTCGGCCTGCCGCCATGTTTGTTATTCAGTGAGTTTGAGTTCACGACATATAGTCATGGGTCACGGTCACTCTGTCCCTCAAAAATTCAAACAATCATTCCTTCTCAAAATGGTTGCTACAGACACTACAATAGTCCCCAATTTCGTAACGTTCAAGACCTAAATTACAGGCCTATTCAGTAGAGAGTTGAAGTAATCACTGTACGTAGACCTCCACGTAGACGTTAACGTACGAAAAATAACGTTTACGTATTGTCGTTAAATTGAGTTGAAGTCGTCACTTTGGTCGCCACTGTCATCATAACGTAATGATACATTTTGTTTTCGGTTTGTATTGGTCATTTTTTGTTGTGTGTTTAGATTCGAACATTTATTCCTGTCAAAATTAGAGGACTCCTTGATGCAGAACTCGTTGGTGATCTCGAATTTGATTTTTTCACTCATCGGCATATTTCGAGAATAGTTTGGTTAACGTACGTTGATATTTCAGGTATACATAAAGGAACGCGAGATAACGTACACCCGTAAGCCCACTAACAACGCAAACGTGAAGAAATGGAAAATGCGCATGCGTAGCTGTCACTTTCTACGTTTACGTTAACGTTCATGACAACACTTCAACTCTCTAGTATCTCATAACGCTATCGTTACGTGTCGTTAGTGAATGACATATCGTTAAATAACGATAATTTTCTTGAATCGAATTCACTACCGATTTGACAGTCGGTAACGAACGACAAGCTGTCATCAGAACATCGTTTATAGACGATAGCTATTTAGAGTATCGGTAGGATAACATGAACACAAAAACAATGAACATAATATCCTCTCATCCATCGGTTTTCTATTGGAGATGGAGTCAGTCTTTTCAAATTTTCAGAAGGGTTTCAGAGGAGTTAAATATAAATATTTTTAGATATTCACCGTTTATTTCGATTCAGAAAAGCTTGAGGGACGCTAGTAAACCATTCGAAGGAAACTTTCGGGAGGATTGTCGGTTATCCAGAGCTATAGTTTGGGGGGTATTCTCTCATAATATGTTGCAGCATCCCAAGGAGGCCAGTAGGAATACTAGTATATACCATCAGTTGTTGAAAATATAATCTGTTGTTACCAAAAATCTATAGAAAGAGACAAATCATGAGCTATGTCCCAAGCAGATGTATCTATGAAATATCAGACAAACTTGTAGACAATTACCTCACTGTACCAAATCTTCAAGATATTATATATGTTAAAAATGGGTATGATTTCAAGTTACAAAATAGGTAGATTGAGAACTGAATTATTCAAAACTCTATATTATCTCTTATTACATTTTTTTTAAACGCATACAAAAATAATACGTAGGTACTGTTCTCCATTGCTTTTCATCCCTCATTGGGCCTCTGGAACTATTCAATTATAGAACCAAACCACTCGGTTTATATTGATTTGATGGGAAAGTATTCATTTCCCTGCAGTTCCTCCACGTATATTCAAATAATAACGAATCACTGTTTGAATATTTTAGCACTCCGGTGCCTGTACGCAATCATACTTCCCTTAGAAACATTATTTTCTCCAATTATAACAGTAGAAGACTCGGTAGACAATCTCTAATCTATATGATATACATAACGATTTGTCATTTAAGACAAATAATGTCTCATTATGTCATACTATCTATTCTGAAAATATATACTTCTTGTTAATTTTCGAATATTTCAACGACATATCTTACAGAATGTATTTTTTTCATCAAGTCGTTCGAATTGTCGTTACATATTAGGATAATCATAGTTGTTATCTAACGTAAACGTAAAATATCGGCCTGTTAGAGAGGTAGGATGGGTAGTATCGATTATAAGCTTTTGACCAGGGCTCTGATTATCTCACTTGTGATGAGCCGGTAACACTCAATATCGAATGTATTCACTTATGTCGCAAAAGAATATCACTTGGAAATCTATGAATGGAGACGGTTTCACACTTTCTGGTAGGCACAATTGGGAGACAGAGTTTGTAACAAATTATCAATCAGAATTAACTATAATACTGGGAGCACAATAGAAAACTATATCTATAAATGAAAGGAATATTAGGACAATGAGAATTGAGAAAGAAAGATTTTTTTTAGGAAATTACAATACAAGTCACGATGGCACGACAGCTCTTGACACTGACAACTCACATAACCACAAATTTCGAAAATTTTCTAGAAAAAAGTGAAGATCATTCCGTCCGATACGGTAACATCCTCTGGTGGCCATACACTCAACTGAGCTATAGAGCAGACTAGTAGTTATAGTTTCGTAATTATAATCCGATTCTTTTCAAAATTGGTACCTAGGGGTTTTCGTGATCGGGGATTATGATTCCTTCGTCAAAATTGAGAAATTCAAGATAGCGAATCCAAAACGGCGTATTTTGTAATAAGGATCCGATTTTATTCTAACTTGGTATCTGGTGGTTCTCGGGATCGGAGATTATGATTCTTTCGTCAATATTAGGAAATTCAAGATGGCGGACCCAATATGGCGGACGAGTATTGTAAGTATGATCCGACTCTCTTCAAAATTGTTATCTGGGTGTTATCGGGGTCGGACATTATGATTCTTTTGTCAAAATTTGGAAAGGGCAGGATTAGACAATTCAAGGTGGTTCAAGTTTTGTAATAATTATGTACCGGTTCTATTCAAAATTTGTGAGTGGGCGTTTTCGGGATCAAAAATTATAATTCCTTCGTCAAAATTAAGGAATTCAAGATGGTAGATCCAATATTCTATTCAAAATTTTCATCTGGGGTTTTAGGAGTCGGATATTATGATTCTTTCGTCAAAATTGGGAAATTCAAGTGAGCTAAAAAGAATAAAATATAAAAGTGAATGTTTGTATGTCCTTGATTAAATCGTAAACAGCTTGACCGATTTCACTGAATATTTTTTTGTTGTGTTTGTTATTGCCAGGAGAAGGTTCCTATGAGAGAAAAAATTAAGAAATTCAAGATTGCGGATCCAATATGGCGGACGAGTTTTGGGATTATAATCCGATTCCATTCAAAATTAGTATCTGGGGGTTTTTGCTGTAGGAGATGATGATTCTTTTGTCAAAATTGGAAAATTCAATATGGCGGACGAGTTTTGAAATTATAATCCGATTCCATTCAAAGTTGATATCGGGGGGTTTCTGCGGTCGGAGATTATAATTCTCTTGTCAAAATTGGAAAATTCAAGATGGCGGATCCAATGTGGCGGACGAGTTTTGTAATTATAATCCGTTTATATTCAAAATTGGTATCTGGGGGTTTTTGGGGTCGAAGATTATGATTCTTTTGTCAAAATTGGAAAATTCAATTTGGCGGATCCACTATGGCGAACGAGTTTTGAAAGTGTGATCCGATTCTATATATGAACTTTCCCGCTAGCAATATCTGATTCCATCCAAGCAGTATAATAATTATTTACAAATTCCTTTTTCAGTCAGCGTATCCCGAAAGACCAATGGTGGCTGAAGCTACGGCCCCTTCTGCGTATCCTGGCCAAGCACGATTCGACCTATGAGGAAGAAGGCATGTACATGTCCATCGAGGACAGGGGAGTGGTAGACCCTCTCTACGGTTGAGCTAATTATTTGTCGCGTAGCCTAAAACTCGTTTATCCAAAAAGGGGTTTACACATATTTGCTTAGCATGTGATCTAGTTTTAAAGAGCCGTTTTCGGTTTAGGCGGAATTATTTTTGTTATCATATTTTTTTTTGTGTACAGGGTGGGCCAAATTGGTCACTTTTGGAGGGAAAGTCCTATTCTCCAACTAGATAGAAGAAAACTGATGTCGGTGCCAAGGTGTTCTTCGAAAATGGGCATTTTTGAAAAGTGTTCTCATGAATATAACTGCAAAGTATTGAGTTTGTGATAACAATCATTCCTGAGGCACTGAAATCGGCCTTCCTATATCTTGTTCAAGAATATAACTTGTTCTTTTTGAAGGAAAAGTTCTATTTCGAAACTAGGTATACCAGGTGACACAGGAGACAATTAGCAGCCTGCAGTTTTTTATTTGGAGAGGTAAAATTTTGAAATTCACAGGGGGAATATAATAAATGGTAGCGCACTTTACGAACTCGACGACAATTTTTTTTCAACCACCTGTTTGACCGGAAGTGACCCCAACTTTTTTTTTAAATGTCACCCTGTGCATTTCTTCAGTCTATCTTTTTCGCCTTGAAATTCTCTATCCAACCATGTATTACAAAGTGGCAGTTATTTCTTAATTCGCTGTTGAATTGCTTTTTATTCAAAAAGAATAAGTTGGCTGTGACATGAATTCGATGATATATCGACACCTGCAATGCAATTTTAATCAACACACAAATGAAGAAGAAAAATTATTGATGCAATCGATTAACTGTCAAACACATGAAACATTTTGTGTAGATACACCGCCTACTAAGTGATATAATTATGAAAAAATAGACTGATTGCCGTGTGGATCATCGTATAAGAGGAACAATTTTAGTTTTATTATTCCAAATGGGAAGATCATGTGATAGGTACATGGCGAAAATAAAAGACAGATAGTTTCTGTACGAGTAGCTGAATTCGAAAAAATATGTTCCTATCGTAGATTCCTCAATATCATGAGTTATTTTCGAAGGTTTTCATTTTGACTCAAACAAGCTATTGACACCTGCAGACATTGATCAGAATATCAAAACATTTTGAATAATATCGGTTCATTAATGATATTTGAATTTCAAAGCCTACCAAGTGTCGATATATCATCGAATTTATGTCACAGCCAACTTATTTTTTTTTTTAATAAAAATCAATTCAACAGCGAATTAAGAAATGAATGCCACTTTGTGATACATGGTTGGATAGAGAATTTCAAGGCGAAAAAGATAGACTGAAGAAATGTACAGGGTGACATTTAAAAAAAAAAAGTTGGTCACATCCGGTCAAACAGGTGGTTGAAAAAAATTGTCGTTAAGTTCGTAAAGTGCGCTACCATTTATTATATACCCCCTGTGAATTTCAAAATTTTATCTCTTCAAATAAAAAAACTACAGGCTGCTACATGTCTCCTGTGTCACCCGGTATGGTGACTGATGTCATTGCGTGAGGTTCAATTTCCATGTCAAACACAATGCTTTGGAGATGTTTTCATGGAAACGAAGTATTTTTGACAAAAAATGAGTTTCAGCCACTTTTCGAAAATTCATATTTTCGAAAAACACCTTGTAACTCTGAAACTAAGATAGATATCGATATGCAGTTTTCACCATTGAGTTTTTCATGTGAATTGATCAACAGGCACCAACATCAGTTTTTTTTTCCTATCTAGTACGAGAATAGGACTTTCCATTTAATAGAGTCCAATTTGGTACACCCTGTACAGTCAGTCATAGTCGTTTTGATCTGCATTATTTATATATTTATTTAATGATTTTTAGTGCGATTCACAGAATTCTATAGTGAGTATATCGTTGATTGTCGTGAATATGAAAGAAGTTGGAATTTATTGAGACATTAAAAATATTTTACTGTTGATATCGGATTTTCAGAATCGCCACGTGAATCCGATTACTTATCCTGATGAATCAACCTTCCCAGTCCATTCCTAGCACAGAAATCCGGGTATTTCATCGTAAAACGGTTTAAAATGGATAAAAACAGGTTCAGTGTTTTGAACAATACAGTGTGTCCGCTAAAAGGAGGTCAATCCATTAACCATATATTCCTTGAACAAAAACAATATGACTTTCTAAATACCATTTTTCATTTTAGCCCTTCATATTCGATATACAGGGTGTCAAAGTTGGAAATTAAAAACTGTTTTTTTTTTATTACTCGCGTATTTAATAAGATATCAATCTCAAAATTGGTACATTACTTCAACACAAAGAGTTACATGGTGTGAGGAAAACAAAACAGAAAATAACTGTCAAATATTCAAAATACTGGGGGTCAAGTACACACTTACCCCCATATTTTTTTTGTACGTGCGCTAATGACTTCCTATCTATTTTTCTTCAAGTGTTCAATCATTTTTGAGTATTTTTTGTTTCTTGTGAAATTTCGATAAAATTATTTGTTTTTAGATAATTTGAAAAGTACTGGTTATTGTATGATGCCTATGCGGCCTACAGTAATCTCATAATCTTCACACTTCGTCGAAATTGGAACAGGGCGTAACTTTTTACGTACGAAAAGGTTGATATGAAAATACCGAGTGTTCAGGGCGAATGTATTTGAATAATTTTCACAAAAGAAAATTGATAGAAATTCAACATGTCTAAATGAATTGCTCGATATTTTTCTGAATACACATGCGAGCACTTTTAATTAAAGAAAATCTAAGCCTTTGAAAAATATGTGGCTTATGCACAAAATCTTTCATGCATCCATAGACAATCCGGATCTGCTATTTCTTTCATCAAGTAGCTATTAAAATCATGAATATCATAATTTCACCAGAAATTTCCGAAAATATTGTCTTCGAAAAAAATCAATTTAATAAACCTTTAAAAGGGTGGGCTCGTCGACCCCCCCCCCCCCATCCTAATATCATTATTTACCCGAAATTCCAAGAAACGTCTTTTTTTATTTGACCCCGTAAAAAAAATTTGACGTCGTCATGCGCCGTTCGATTGGCAGAAAAAATTTATTCGACACGTGTCCTCACGTTTTTTTTGTAAAAATAATTTTAATACATTCGCTCTGAGCATCCGGTATTTCTATATTTACCTTTTCGTAAAATATTCGATTGGCAAAAAAAATTTATTCGACACGTGTCCTCACTTTTTTTTGTAAAAATAATTTTAATACATTCGCTCTGAGCATCCAGTGTTTCTATATTTACCTTTTCGTACTTAAAAAAATACGCCCTCTTTCAATTTCGACGAAATAAATAGGAGTATGTGTAGATTATGAGATTACCGTAAGCTGCATAGGCATCAAACAATAACCAGTACTTTTCGAATCATCTCGAAAACAAATGATTTTATCGAAATTTCACAAGAAACAAAAAATACTCGAAAATGATTGAACACTTGAAAAAAATAGATCGGAAGTCATTAGCGCACGTACAAAAAGAATATGGAGGTAAGTGTGTACTTGACCCCCAGTATTCTGAATATTTGACAGTTATTTTCTGTTTTGTTTTCCTCACACGATGTAAGTCTTTGTGCTGAAGTAATGTTCAAGGAATATATGGTTAATGGATTGATCCTGTATACCTACGACAGATTCCATATCGCCTATATCATACGGCAAATAGGGCGTTGAAATTGGTTCATCATTCATCAGGTTTCCACATGATACATTTATTGTGCCAATCGGACATCCTTGAGAAGATATTTTTATACAGTTAAATTTCTACTATACCAGTGTTAGGATGACAAGGACTCTCAAGTACCTACCTATGAACAAAATGAAATTGAAGTATCAGAAAATAGTTTACTCTTGTTCATTGTAATCGTCATTTAAAATCTGTTTTTCGTGAACATTTCTGAATTGACAAGAGCTTCAGACTGTGCAAGGTCTTACAACGAAAAATGCAGCCCCCGTAAATTCAGAGAACCGTTTTTTTTTTAGTATTAGCCGATCTGTTGACTTTTGTTCATTTCTCTAACGCCTATTAACTCCTATTTTAAAATTGGAAGGCTCATCCAGTAACAAGTTCAATGGTTTCAGTCTTATACAGTGTGTCCCACTTACCATGCTCACCATGGGAATTTTTTAACGGTGAGAGATACGAGGTCGGTTAGATGACACCAAATGTGATAACAACGGAGTTATCGTCATTTATACAAAAACAAAAAATTATTTGGAAGTCGCCATCTTGAATTTATAAATTTTAACAAAAAAATCATGATCTCCGACCTCAAAAACCCCCACTTATCAATTTTGAATGAAATCGGACCAAATCTTTTCTGCCATCTTGGAGCAGCCATTTTTTTAAATTTCAACAAAAATTCCATAATGTATTGTCACCGAAATTATGAACACCTGCCAAATTTCAAGTTAATCGGAGTTATGGAATTTTTGTTGAAATGAAAAAAATGGCTGCTCCAAGATGGCGGACAAGATTTGGTCCGATTCCATTCAAAATTGGTAAGTGGGGGTTTTTGAGGTCGGAGATCATGATTTTTTTGTTGAAATTTATAAATTCAAGATGGCGACTCCGTTCTTATCAACACAAAACTATTACTGCGACATCTGTAAGAGAAAAAAAAGTTATTTGTAACTAAGTCATAGTGAGCTACATTTGAAAAACTGAAGTTGGTGCTGATATCTCAAATTCTAGAAGAGTTGGTATAAATTTCATATTTTTTTCGAAATCACTTTGAAAAACTGCCATGAGAATGTGAAATTCCTATTTGAATATTCTCATGAATAAAGAAGTTACGGAGGAGAAATGAAAATGATCGAAATCTGTTTTTTGCGTATAAAACAAAAACGAATAGATTTAATCAAAATATTTTTTCACATTATAGTTGGCCTTGACAAACTCCACATTTGGTGTCATTTAACCGACCTCGTATCTCTCACCGTTAAAAAGATACCCATGGTGAGCATGGTAAGTGGGACACACTGTATAGGCCGATGCGTGTAAGGGGCGAGTAATGAGGCACACACAAACAATACAACACCACCTTTAATGACCCCAACACCTTACAACCTTGTCACTTGGCTGACTGTAATATACTGACTAATTACTAATCTCCTATCTTCAACCGTTCTGCATTCCGTGATTCATCATACTTGTAATCACTTGAGTTCCTAAATGTACTTGACACTGCTGCTTTGACGTTTTTTGTATATTAGAGTACGGACACTAGACAAGCAGTGACAATCAAACATAACCACAAACGATGGATACATATCACATGGGTTTCGTGCAAGAACTGTCAGATGACCGACACTGGAGGCAAAATATTGAAACACAACGTCACTTTACTTATTTGTTTACAAGTGATTGAAATAGTTTTTCACAATTATTTTGGCATACGAATCGTATTTTTCCGCTATTCATCAATTCGCTCATGCCATCACATTGTGCTGTTGTAAAATGCACAAAAACTGCAGCGGAAGATGAAGGAATCCGGATGGTACATTATGATTTAAAAGTAATTACCTACTAATAGTCACTCACCTACAGTTTTCATTTTTGAAATTTGGTAATTTCTCTGATTTCTCATCAGAATTCTTTCAGCGATAGAAGCTAATAGAAATACATCTGCAATTTATAAAATAATGCCAGAAAATTGGATTCATGCAATCAATCGGGAGGACTGGTCTGACATGCTGCCGATAGTGTGTGTTGTAGACATTTTCAATCTATTAGCAGTATTAGCTTGTATTGCAGGAGTGGCAGAAGGCAGAAGGAATTTTAATAAGGAATGACAACATTTCATAATGATAACTATGTGAGATTACTATTTACCTGAAAAATCATATTCCTTAGTCTCTTGCTGCATTTTTTGTGCATTGTACAACAGCACAATGCGAAGGCATGCTTGAATTAATAATGATTTGATTCCTCTGTAACCAAGTAAAACAGTGAGGTTGTGTATCAATATTTTGCCTCCAGGGTCGGTCATCGTGCACGCGACCTATATATGAACACTGTTGATGGCTTTTGTTGTGCTATAGTTCCAAAAAATGAGTCAATAATACCGTCTCCGAGAAAGAACTGCAAGTCCTTTTATCTTCCATTCGACTTCGCGGTTACGTATATTACTAAACAACCACTAAATGCGCAATTTTTCGAAATCAAATCACAGAATTAGACTGACAGAAGTGACATCAGATATTTGATTACTTCAAAAGAATGATAAAGATGCCTAGAACGCAGGTGTCCCTACTGTTAAAAACTTGAAATTTCACGCCGAAAATTTTCAGATTCCAAAATAATGTAATATCTTCTCAATATTGATTCGTCCTCTCTTCTGTCACAGAAAGAAATAGTGTATTATACACGGGAAAAATATTAGATTTTAGCTCACGGTCAACACAACCTGGAGCTAAAATCTACAACTTTTTTCCCTTGTATAATAAATAACTATAGGTCCCTAACGACACAGCATAGTAATGGAATGCCAATAATTCATTTTATAAGTTCACTCGCCCATTGAAATTCTCTGGTAAATTCTAAAGAATTGATACGTATTTTTTCACATGATATTATTCAACATGTTGATTTTGTCAAAATTTAATTCACTCGTTTTATTCATAATAGGTATGTAGTTTTTTCAGAACACTTACGTAATCTTTCAGATCTTGAAGTGACATTCTCAGATGGACGTTTAGGTGTTCTAAAGAATGCTTTTTTCAGATATCACAGATTCAAAGGAACTTGCTAAGAAACTGTCCGATTTGAGAAGAAGGGGCACTTTAGTCGAATTCGAAGTGATAGAGTACAGGGCTGACTGGCTCGAGAGTCAGATGACTAAAATCAGAAAACATGTTTCTTCCCCCTGAAGTATTCGAAATGGAGACTGAGAGAACAAAATGTGATCGTATTGGCTGTGAATTTGGAATATACAACATACTTTTGTACCCCCCTATATTGTTGGTTTTCATGTGTTCGTTATTTTCTTTGGTATCATGGTAATATTGGGACTCATCTGACTCGGCCGTTAATACTTGATGAAGATATAAGGTGGCCCGATAGCGATTTTACTAAATATACTGTACGCTAGCACAAACCACGCCCACCGTAATATCTCATCTTCGAAGTACTTAGGCAAAACTCAGAGACTATTTATCCTCAACGAACTAACCTATCCCTGATTGCAATATTTTTGAGGAAGGAAAACCGAATGGAGTGTAGAAACACATTGATTAATAATATATTTCAAAAGTTGAGTTCTTCAACAAAATTGAATAAAATGAGACTGTTTATCCTAAACGCACTAACCTATTTGACTTCAAATATTTCATGAAAAAGGAAAACCAGAATGAAGTAAAAAAACATTGGTGAAAAAAAAAGTTGCAAAAAAAGTTCAAGTTCACAGCGATTCGAACCATGGACCTTCAGCCTGAAAGTCGACAGCGCTAACCAGTAGACCATTTGGGTATATGAATTTACTGCGTACAAGAGATTGACAACGAGAGAGCTTCAGTCGAATTCGTGTCAAAATCATAAAAAGTGTATTCTTGCGTTGGAGCACAGTATATTTAGTGCGATGTGCTGACTCCGAGTATATCGGTAATGTTTGGAAATATGACGTATTATGGTGGGCGTGGTTTGTGCTAGCGTGCAGTATATTTAGTAAAATCGCGGCCCGATAGTAGCCTGCCAACCTTCACCAGTGGCTTCTACAATCAAAAATAAGAAGTACGTTTCGATGAACATGAGACAAGAAACGTCTTAAAGATGATATTTCTTGAGTATTTCCGAAACTCCATGTGATAAAAAGATACTGTACATAAAATGTGCATTTATATGGGGCCAGGTAGCCGTGCGGACAGAGTGTCGCATTCGCTTGCCGGTCGTGGGTTCAATCCCCTCACACCTGGAATACGTTTGTTTTTATTGAGTTCAACCTGTAGGCTAAATTCTTGGGGATTTTTTAGTGGATTTTACAAGACAAGAACAAACGTTTTTTCCCCTCCTGAACAATTAGCTCTGAAAGTCTCACGAGGTTTTGACAGTAAGCCGACACAACACTGTTTTACTACTAACCAAAACGATCTCCTGATAATGCTTACATAGTTGGCGAAACACGTGTCGAAGCTTATAAAAAATCGTTTGGGTTAGTAGTAAAATGGTGTAGTGTGATTATCGTGCCAAAGGCTCCAGTCTTCGATATACCGGGTGGTATCGAGGGTGCATAGTCTTGAATACCACCCGATATAGGTCTCAATTTTCAATATTACTGGGTATGATCCTTGTGAATATACAGGGTGTCCGCTAAAAGGAGGTCAATCCATTAACCATATATCCCTTGAACAAAAATAATATGAGTTTCTAAATACCATTTTTCATTTTAGCCCTTCTTATTCGATATACAGGGTGTCAAAGTTGGAAATTAAAAACTGTTTTTTTCTAATTTCTCGCGTAATCAATGAGATATTCATCTCAAAATTGGTACATTACTTCAGCACAAAGAGTTACATCGTGTGAGGAAAACAAAACAGAAAATAACTGTCAAATATTCAAAATACTGGGGGTCAAGTACACTTTTTTCATTTTTTTTTTGTAAAAATTATTTTAGTACATTTGCTCTGAGCACCCGGTATTTCCATATTTACCTTTTCGTACGTGAAAAGATACGCCCTCTTCCAATTTCGACGAAATAAATAGGAGTATGTGAACATTATGAGATTACCGTAAGCCGCATAGGCATCAAACAATAACCAGTACTTTTCGAATTATCTTAAAAACAAATGATTTAATCGAAATTTTACAAGAAACAAAAAATACTCAAAAATGATTGAACACTTGAAGGAAAATAGATAGGAAGTCATTAGCGCACGTACAAAAAAAATATGGGGGTAAGTGTGTACTTGACCCCCAGTATTTTGAATATTTGACAGTTATTTTCTGTTATGTTTTCCTCACACGATGTAACTCTTTGTGCTGAAGTAATGTACCAATTTCGAGATCAATATCTTATCAAATACGCGAGTAATTAGAAAAAAACAGTTTTTAATTTCCAACTTTGACACCCTATATATCGAATATGAAGGGCTAAAATGAAAAATGGTATTTAGAAACTCATATTGTTTTTGTTCAAGGAATATGTGGTTGATGGATTGACCTCCTTTTAGCGGACACCCTATAGGTCTCAATTTTCAATATTACTTGGTATGATCCGTGTGAATCGATTGAAAACCGAGGGTGAAATCAGAATTCAACCAAATAAACACAAGAACAAGTATAACAAATATAATCTCTGTAAATGTAAAAACGATAAAATATATAAGGTTCAAGAAAAATTGAAAAGAAATTTCCTATTACTATTTTTCCTGTCCAAGATTCTTCGGGGGTCTGTATCCCATGAATTTCTTCATCTCCTCTGGTGACAAGTCGGTGAACTTGTTGATGCCCATTTTCCAAGTGACTTTTTTATCATCGTATTCCTTGTTGTGTGCCTCCATTTTTTGTATATTGGATTCAAAAATAGCACGGTGACTTGCTTCATCTTCTTCAGTTCCATAATTTTTTGCGTAAGTGGACTAAAATTAAAATATAATAGTAATATTGTTTATGTCAGATACGGGAATTAAATTGATGATGACCACAATTTCAATCAATCTCAATAAGTTATATTCCTTCGATTCCATGGAATTCATGAAAATCATATATGTTTGAAATCAGGAAGAATTAATCCTTTAAAGATATGCGATAAAATATTGGGTGTTCCATTCAAAAAAATCAATTTTCACATCCCCATAAGGATTTAATGTTTGGATGGCATCATTTGAAAGGGAACAACATCTGATTCAAGATTTTGTTTTGAAGTTATCAATATCTCAATTAGTTTTCGAGATCTTGGGTGTGCACAGCGATTTATTTGCCGCGGTTCAAACAGATTCAAGTTAGTGGCAGAGCGTCAATATTTCCGAGAATTTTTCGCACTTGTCGAAAGATAATATCCGATGGACCAGTGTAAAGCTGTTGAGTATTTCGTGAGGTTGCTTCATATACAGGGTCATTCGTTTTTCCGGAGAGGACAGTATAACCTTGATTTTTTCAATGTAACACCCTATATATTTTCTGACATGTCGATAGAGCTTTCTTTCCTGATTTTAAAAATATATATGAGTAGCATATTTGCATGGAAATTAATTGAGCTATTGGTGATCAAAGCTTACCTAAATACTGCACCTCTTCAATTCAAACTGTCCATTCATTTTTTTTTTGTATTGAGATATGTTCAACTTACATTAGATGATATGAATATGAAGTGAAGGTTCGTTCATAAAGCGGTATTTTGGTCAACTTTGATTATCAATAACCCAACTATTCTTCATCCGAATATGCAACTCATGAATATTTTTGAAAACAGAAAAAAGGTCCTATCGATATGTCGGAAAATATATATATAAGTATAGGGTGTTCCATTGAAAATCTAAGTTCATGTCCTCTCCAGAAAAACGAGTGACCCTGTATATTAAATAATTCCACGAAATGGAGGTTGAAGTCGGTTCAAAACATTTTTTCATATCTTTGAAACCAAAAGATCGAGTTAGGCGGGGGTTCCATTTTAAGAGAGGCGCACCCTGTACAGCTATGACCAACCGATAAGTTATTCAAAAATTCACAAATCACCTGATCTATCCTTACTGCGGATATATCGAAATAATACTATAATCAGAAACGAGGAAAAAATCCAAAGATATGAAAAGCCTCTATAAAGCCCTATAAAAGCGATACGAGGGGTAAATCTCCAGGACGAATGTGTACACCAGACTTCCAATGAACAGAGACTTCCAAAGACTCCCAAAGACTTTCACATACTTCCAAAGACTTCCAAAGACATCCAAAGACTTCCAAAGACTACCAAAGACTTCCAATGGAGTGTACACCAGACTTCCAATGAGATTTACCCCTTGAAGCGATAAGCATATTTCTTGTCCTAGTTTGGGGAAACATAAGTATGATCTCCGATCTGCAAAAATAAAAAGTGTGCTGACCAAGCATTTCTGGTTCGAATTTTTTCTTCAAATTGCATATTTGAATATTCAATATGACCATTAAAATAATTTCGATCCACCCCTTCAGAGGGGTAGTTTATTCTTGCAGTTTTTCGAAAATCCTTGCTGACCGAGTATTTCTGGTCCGTATTTCTCCATCAAATCACATATTTGAATATCTTATATAGATATATAGATGCCATGCACCAGTGGAATTATTTCGATCCACCCCTTCAGAGGGGTAGTTTTCTCTTACAGTTTTTCAAAAATCCTTGCTGATGACCGAGCATTTCTGATTCGAATTTCCTTTTCAAATTGCATATTTTCATCTTATATATAGATACATGGATGCCACCAGTGGAGTTATCTGCTTGATCCACCCCTTTGAAGGGGTAGTTTATTCCTGCAGTTTTTCAAAAATCCTTGCTGACCGAGCATTTCTGGTTCGTATCTTCTCATCAAATTACTTTTTTGGATATCTCATATAGATAAATGCCCCCAGTGGACTTATTATCGATTCACCCCTGTAGAAATGCTCGGTCAGCAAGCATTTTCGAAAAACAGCAAGAATAAACTACCCCTCTAAAGGGGTGAATCAAGATAATTCCACTGGTGGCATCTATAAATCTATATGAGATATTCAAATATGTGATTTGATGGAAAAATACGGACCAGAAATGCTCGGTCAGCAAGGATTTTCGAAAAACTGATATTTATTTCAAGGTTATTATTTTTTTTACTTACTTTGTCAATGAGATTTTACATCTTTAGACAATAAAGCATATTCTCTCTCTCTCTCTCTCTCTCTAGCCCCCTCTGAAAGAGTGAATCGCGAAATAATTCCACTGGCGGCATCTATATATCTATATATAAGATATTCAAATTTTAATATGCAATTTGAAGTGAAAATTCGAACCAGAAATTCTCGGTCAGCATACTTTAATTTTGGTCAGCAAATTATACACCCCCTCATTTATTCGTGGTTGCCTGCCAAGTTTTCTGAAGAAACCCATCAAGGTACATTTCAGGAAGGCCTGACCACACCTTCGACCGCCTGCAAACTAAGAATTTTGTTTCAAATCGTTATTTTCGAAACGGTTCCATAAATGGTTGCTATGGATTGTGAAAAATGTCTATAGATTCAATCAATATTTTTACCTTGAAATTATTCCATTGTTCATCAAGAGATACTGGGACAGCCATGATGATTGATAAGAATGACTAACAAATTATTTACAAATCATAAAATAATATGCGCAATGCGCATAACCCGCGCGTATATCAGCTAATAGTTGATTATTGATATTTTAAAATAAAACAGAGATAGAGATGTTAATAGGTAAATCGATACCTCTATCATTGTATAAAATTTATACAATGACTATATAACTCAATTGATCTCAGTATAGTGAGAATGTAACAAGGTAAAAAGAATATTGCTATAAATACTATGAATATCTATACACGCAAACATTTTAGGTGTTTACCTACCTATATACATCATTAAAAATATTAATTTTTCCGATTATTGATTCAGATTAGATAAGCTATATTAGCGATTAGATAAGCCACTTTTTATGATAGTGATAGGTTATATGCTATCTACTAATAATGGGAAACAGAAAATAAACCCCATGAATTCTAATACGTTACATAACGTTGCATAGGGAGAAAAGGCATGTATTTTTGCCGTTCCTCCAAAAAGAGCAACAGTCACTTCACCATTGCTGAACTGAACAAGTTATAATAAGTAGTCAAGAGAATACCAGATTGGTCCTCTCGTAAAAATTTGTCATCGAAACTACAAAAGAGATCGACTAGTAACCATTGACCTATATATGCTTGTAATATCGATATTTTCGAACAAAACATAACACACCTCTTTTCAGGAGCGACTAATGCACCTTTCAAGCGATTCACGGATTCACATAGACAATCACACACGACGTGAGTCAGAAGTCAAAGTAGTATGCAACATATCGCGTATACCGGGTGTCCACGAATTCTTTGGAAAATAATAATAATAATATAATAATAAATGGACTTTATTTTACTTGGCGGAGTTTAGCTCATAGCTATTCTTCCACTCAACCAAGCATATTTTAGAATAACAATGTGAGTACAATGATGAGAAAATAAAATTAGTGATATAATAGTATAAACATAAAATCAATTGTACTATTGATGATAGTAGTGACAATAACGATCATAATGATAAATAATAATAATAATGATAATAATAATAGTGAATGATAATAACAGTCATAAAGAGCTTTGAAGAAAAATGAAAAAAAAAAATCAGAAAAGTAGAGATCTTGATGAGTCTATCGCTGTTCATCCAGGAGATGTTGCTTGAGTTTACGTTTGAAATTTATAGGACATACGTGCTTTATATTTTGACGAATAGAATTGTACAGGACGACGGAATGGTAGGAGAAAGATCGTTCAAAGAACCTGGTCCGGTGCTGAGGGATTGACAAATTATCAGTATATCGAAGGTCTCTGGTATGTGCTTCTTGTCTATGTTGGAGTTTGTCAAGGAGGTAAGGAGGTATTTTTTTCCTAAAGAGGTTATGTAAAAAGCAGGCATGATGAAGTTCTCTTCTATTGTGCATTTTCAACCAATCTAGTTTATTAATAAAAGGTGTAACGTGGTCCCTAAACCTCAACCCAAAAATGAACCTCACGCATGCATTCTGAACTCTTTGAATTCTCGCTGACTGTATCCCGTCGAGACATGGACCATAGAGGATGTCACAATAATTAAAAATTGATAGAATTAGTGAATCAGCAAATGAGCTTTTTTGAGTCCGAATATGAAACAAGATTAACTCCTTATTGAACTTTTTTCAATATATTTGAGGTCTCAGGATTGGTTGAAAATTGGTATACTGATGAATGTTCTCAAAGCTCAAAACAAGAAGTCGGTTTTCCTGTAAATGTTTGGTTATTTTCGAGATATTAGTTTAAAGAAAATTCGGGAACATCCAAATAAGATGAAAACTTCTCCACACATCTCAATTCAAAAAGCAGCAACGACCAACTCGAATTGTCATCAATTTCTATAGTTTCTGAGATGAAAAAAATTAATATTCCGAAATGGGGTAAAAAAATAATTACCTTACTTTATTACTAGACTAGAGTGTTGTGCATCTAGTCCGCACTAGGAGGATGCCTGAAGGGCCTTTGATACCAAATTTGAAGGCTGTATAGGACAAAGTGGAATTTTGGGTCTGATAAAGAAACAAGCAATAACCCCTTTGAACTTCTTTCAATATTTTCGAGGTCTCAAAATGAGCTGACAATGTGTATACAACTTTTTCTCGGTCTACTGAACAAGAATATTCAATCAGTTTTTCTGTATGTATGATGATTTCCGAGATATTTGCATTTTTAAGATAATTCAAAACGTCCAAAATGGCTGAAAATTTTCAAGAATCCCTACAGGGCTCTATAAGTACCGAAGCTGATTTTTGGGTCTGAAATAGAAACAAGGTAAACCCCTTTGAAGTTTTTTCAATAGTTTAGAGGTCTCAGAATGAGCTGAAAATTTGTATATAGGATGTTCTCGGTGTGCAGAACAAGAATATGAAGTCGGTTTTCCTGTATGTTTGGTTGTTCCTGAGATAATAGTATTTTAAAGAACATTATGAAACGTCCAAAAACACTGATAACTTCCCCACACATCTCAATTCATGAGCAGCAGATACGTGTCGATTAACTCGAATTTCCATCAATTTCTAGTTTCGAAGATGATCAAATTTTGGTTTGAAGTGGGGTTGAAAATTACCTTATTTTTAATTTTTTGACCAGAGAGCTGTGCTTCTAGTCCGCACTAGGAGATGCCTAAAGGGCCTTCAATACCAAATTTGAAGGCTCTAGGACAAAGTAGATTTTTGGGTCTGAAAAAGAAACAAGGTTAACCCCTTTGAACTTTTTTCAATATTTTTGAGGTCTCAGAATGAGCTGAGAATTTGTATACAGGACGTTCTTGGCCTACTGAACAAGGATATTGAGTCGATTTTTCTGTATGTATGATGGTTTCCAAAATATTTGCATTTTTAAGAAAACTCGAACGTCCAAAATCGCAAAAATCTCCTCCAAACATCCAAATCCGTCTGCAGAATACGTCGATCTACATGAATTCTTATCGACTTCCACAGTTTCTGAGTTAACCAATTTTTTGTCTGAAGTGGAGTCAAAAATTATTAGTTTTTTGATTTTAGGACTAGAAAGCTGTGCTTCTGGTCCGCACTAGAAGGTGCCTATAGGGCCCTAAATACCAAATTTGAAGGCTCTAGGACAAGGTTGAATTTTGGGTCTGAAAAAGAAACAAGGTTAACCCCTTTGAACTTTTTTCAATATTTTTGAGGTCTCAGAATGAGCTGAGAATTTGTATACAGGACGTTCTTGGCCTACTGAACAAGGATATTGAGTCGATTTTTCTGTATGTATGATGGTTTCCAAAATATTTGCATTTTTAAGAAAACTCGAACGTCCAAAATCGCAAAAATCTCCTCCAAACATCCAAATCCGTCTGCAGAATACGTCGATCTACATGAATTCTTATCGACTTCCACAGTTTCTGAGTTAACCAATTTTTTGTCTGAAGTGGAGTCAAAAATTATTAGTTTTTTGATTTTAGGACTAGAAAGCTGTGCTTCTGGTCCGCACTAGAAGGTGCCTATAGGGCCCTAAATACCAAATTTGAAGGCTCTAGGACAAGGTTGAATTTTGGGTCTGAAAAAGAAACAAGGTTAACCCCTTTGAACTTTTTTCAATATTTTTGAGGTCTCAGAATGAGCTGAGAATTTGTATACAGGACGTTCTTGGCCTACTGAACAAGGATATTGAGTCGATTTTTCTGTATGTATGATGGTTTCCAAAATATTTGCATTTTTAAGAAAACTCGAACGTCCAAAATCGCAAAAATCTCCTCCAAACATCCAAATCCGTCTGCAGAATACGTCGATCTACATGAATTCTTATCGACTTCCACAGTTTCTGAGTTAACCAATTTTTTGTCTGAAGTGGAGTCAAAAATTATTAGTTTTTTGATTTTAGGACTAGAAAGCTGTGCTTCTGGTCCGCACTAGAAGGTGCCTATAGGGCCCTAAATACCAAATTTGAAGGCTCTAGGACAAGGTTGAATTTTGGGTCTGAAAAAGAAACAAGGTTAACCCCTTTGAACTTTTTTCAATATTTTTGAGGTCTCGGAATGAACTGAAAATTTGTATACAGGATTTTCTTGGCCTACTGAACAAGGATATTGAGTCGATTTTTCTGTATGTATGATGGTTTTCGAATTATTTGCATTTTTAAGAAAATTCTTAAACGTCCAAAATCGCAAATAACTTCCCCAAACATCCAAATTCGTCTGCAGAATACGTCGATCTACATGAATTCTTATCGACTTCCACAGTTTCTGAGTTAACAATTTTTTGTCTGAAGTGGAGTCAAAAATTATTAGTTTTTTGATTTTAGGACTAGAGAGCTGTGCTTCTAGTCCGCACTAGAAGATGCCTAAAGGGCTCTAAATACCAAATTTGAAGGCTCTAGGACAGGGTTGAATTTTGGGTCTGAAAAAGAAAGAAGGTTAACCCCTTTGAACTTTTTTCAATATTTTTGAGGTCTCAAAATGAGCTGAGAATTTGTATACAGGATGTTCTTGGCCTACTGAACAAGGATATTGAGTCGGTTTTTCTGTATGTATGATGGTTTCCAAAATATTTGCATTTTTAAGAAAACTCGAACGTCCAAAATCGCAAAAATCTCCTCCAAACATCGAAATCCGTCTGCAGAATACGTCGATCTACATGAATTCTTATCGACTTCCACAGTTTCTGAATTGAACAATTTTTTGTCCGAAGTGGAGTCAAAAATTATTAGTTTTTTGATTTTAGGACTAGAGAGCTGTGCTTCTGGTCCGCACTAGAAGATGCCTATAGGGCCCTAAATACCAAATTTGAAGTCTCTAGGACAATGTTGAATTTTTGGTCTGAAAAAGAAAGAAGGTTAACCCCTTTGAACTTTTTTCAATATTTTTGAGGTCTCAAAATGAGCTGAGAATTTGTATACAGGATGTTCTTGGCCTACTGAACAAGGATATTGAGTCGGTTTTTCTGTATGTATGATGGTTTCCAAAATATTTGCATTTTTAAGAAAACTCGAACGTCCAAAATCGCAAAAATCTCCTCCAAACATCGAAATCCGTCTGCAGAATACGTCGATCTACATGAATTCTTATCGACTTCCACAGTTTCTGAGTTAACAATTTTTTGTCTGAA